CAGAAGGTGGAGATTGCAGTGACCTGAGATTGCGCCACGGCACTCCAGCTTGGGCGACAGAGCGAGACTTCGTCACACACCAAAAAAGAAAGAAAGATTAACAATATAAAATGGAAAAAAAAAAATTAATCAGTTGTATCATTACCACTGGAACAGTCTGAGAACTAATTATGAAGACTGATCTCAATTCTACTTTTTTAATTGAAGAAGAAGGTTTTCCCTTTCTTAGCCTCCTCGGCCTATCTTTTAGCAATTCAGAGTCAACAGTGAGCTGAGATTGTGCCACTGCACTGTAGCCTGGGTGCCAGAGACTCCATCTCAAAAAAAAAAAAAAAAAAAGAAAGAAAAGAAAAGCCACTGATATCTTTCATAAATAACCAAATATGGTAGATTACCAAACTGGCTTAGGTCTTAGTTGCATGTGTGTGTGTGTAAGTGTGTGTGTGTGTGTGTAAGTGTGTGTGGTTTTCTATAAAGAGACAAGGTCTTGCTATGTTGCCCAAGCTGGCCTTGAACTCCTGGGCTCCAACAATCCTTCTACCTCAGCCTCCCAAGTACATAAGACCACAGGTGCATGCCACGGTGCCTTGCCTATGTCTCAGTTTTCAACAAAGCTCAATAAAAATGACAGTAGAAAAAAAATATTTCAGCTCTCAAGAAGTCTACAAGCTAAACACGGTCATAAGACAAATACAAACTTAAAAAGCAAAGTAAGATTTAAAAAGATGGCTGGATGTGGTAGCTCACACCTGTAATCCCAACACTTTGGGAGGCTGAGGTGGGTGGATTGCTTGAGCTTAGGAGTTCACGACCAGCCTGGGCAACATGGTGAAACCCCATCTCTACAAAAAATACAAAAATAGCTGGGCCAGGTGGTGCATGCCTATAGTCTCAGCTACTTGGGAGGCTGAGGTGGGAGGACTGCTTGAGCCTGGGAGGTTGAGGCTGCAGTGAGCTGAGATCACACCACTGCACTCCAGCCTGGGTGACAGAGTGAGATCCTGTTTCAAAAAAGAAAAAGAAAAAAGACTTAAAAAAATAACTTCTTCATGCATTCATTTAACAATATTTGCTGAGTGGACTGTGTGTATCCTGGACCATGACGGGGGCTGTAGGGAGCATAAAAAGATGGATCAGCCAGGATTCTTCCCAAAAGGAACAGGTCTTGTCACTGAGTTAAAACAAGTGCAGAGTAACTTAGTTTACTAGCACTCGAAGGCTTACCTATGGCCAACAGTAAGTCTTCAAAATGCCCAGATAATTCTCCTTTTATGCTGTCCACAATGTCCTTTTGGCTGATATTTCTGTATTCATCAAATGCTAAAAGGAAGCACCACAAAATTATTTAAAGCAACCCAGTTGAGCACATTTGAATATATTCTAGTTTTTTATTTGATACGCACAAGATCAAGTAGCAAGCTAAAAACCTCCCTCTTTAAACCATGAAAATTTGGGTACAAAAGTTTTTGTTTTTCTTTTGTTCCTTTTTAAGGAAATCATCTACGATAAACCCCAAACATCCCTAGATAATTTTCTTCAATGATCTCTCTTTCTCTT